GAATCCGCCGTCGTCTTCTGGTGGAACTGACCTTCGAATCTCTTTACACAACACTTTTACTCGAAATGGAATTAAGCTCAACAATTATGTAACAAGAGATTCCTCGGAACCAAATTTTTCTTCGCATACTATTTTAATCTCGCCTCGCTCCCAACTAACTGACAAATTAACCAAATTTAGAGACTATAGTTGGCTTAATGCTGGAAAGATTATTAGTTTTATGCCAATACACGTGGCACTTCATATAATCTTGTATTTAACCTCCTATTCGTTTTATCTATATATTAATTATATTACCATTATAAAGAGTATGATTTTCCGTTTGTTCAATTAGTACGGGTAGAATTTTAGTTTAGTCACTTCAGAATGATGCTTTTGTAATTCAGTGGTTTGATGGGCTCATAAACTTAAATTATCCTTTTTTTGAGTTCAGCTTTTCTGTGGAATTGCTAATAATAATTTATTCTTCAAAATTGAAAGGCATGACATTTAAAACTGATAAAAATATTGTAAATAGGGTATTTTTTATCAAGAATCTTAAAATTATTGGTTTGATACAAATAACTCTTTAATGTTACTCTTTAACGTTTCCTACAATCTGTGGATTCATGCCTTATTCATCTAAACAATTATTATATTAATAATGTAATGATGAAGAATGCTCTCTTTCCAATTTAGGTGTTTAGTTTATTCAATTGCTATAGGAATGGTTTTACATAATTTAATTTAAAATGTTGATTTTTTATTCATTGGCGATTTCCTTTTGCATCATATTGACGTAAACAATTTACTTTTATTTTTGAAATTGAATGATATATCCATATAATGATGATGATTTTGTTATACAAGCAGTATCTTAAAATTGATGGTTAAATAAGAACTTTTATTCAGTGGTAATTATAACTTTGTATTCTCAGATATACTATCTTTCGATGGGAAGAGGGGATAATTAAATTTTATTTTTTTATGGCCCCTGTGTGTAACTACCCCTATTAATTTAATCTATTTGTTTATAATTATTAGATTAGTGAATATTTATTTTTCCAAAATACTTTTAATTGTTTAACAAAAACATTTCTTCTTGATTTAGTTAAGAGTGCTAAGGCAGCTCGACGAAATGCGTTTCAATTGGAAAACTGTCTGAATTGTACAGTAGATGTATCTTAAAATGAATACCAATTAAGCTTAATTTAACTCGGATCTTAGTAAGAAAGGCTTATTTCTATTTTTAGGGGTAAAATTGTGTATTTGACTATAATTATGCTCCTATAACTTACTAACTAAAAATAACATCGCATCCTGGACCATTAGCCAGAGTGACTGGCTTGAGTGGCTCAAGGTAACGGGAGTAGAGACTAAGCGATGCTGCATTCGCCTAGCACCTTAACAAATGGTTAACTAAGTTTTAAGAGTTTCCCGCCCCCCTGAGGTAGTCATTTGGTCTGCATTCTGAGGGTTTTTGAATTTGCTGGTGGCAACCAGAAATGTGTTGAGCAATCATTTGCAAAGAATGGGCTCTAGTCTCCAGCCCTTTGGATGGAGAAGACGATCTGTCATGCGAGGGGAGGGAAGAACGGTGTATAGGCGTGGGGAATAGGGCATATCCGAATCACAGTTTGACGGCCACTTTCGCTGGTTTGACGCAAGACTGACTCGAAAATTGCCGGTTTCGTCATCGAGGCACTGCTATCACTTAAAGATAGTAACAAAGCGGCAAACAAATGAAGCCGGGCGGCAAGCCTCAAAACGAGGCTGTAGCCGAACAGCTCAACTCGGCTTGCATTTGTCGGGTCTCCCTTCACTCCCTTCCGGCAATCCGTTCGATTCGTCGCCCCCGAGGACTAACTGTCCCATCTGCTGAGTGCTCAAATCGTAGCCTGAGCGACTGAGGCATGGGTCTCGAGACAGAAGAAGGTGATGAGACAAAACAGAGCCTTGAAAGAGTGCTGACAGGCGATGCGTTTTGACAAAGATGATAAGCCAGCTTCACGGCATCGTCTTCTGCTTTTTATCAGACCGCCTCTCTCGCCTCTAATTGAAGCTCGTGCCAGTTCACGAGGCCAGTGGAGAAAAGGGGATCTCGGTCGGTCTTATCGGAGTGGGCGAAGCGAAGTGATGACAACACCCAATCGGGTGTGAATGGAAACCACACGAAAACGGTATGGACAAGGCCCATGAAGTCTTCACACCTGGCCCACACCGCCGCCCAGTGAGCCTCTGTCTGGTTGACTGGCGTCGTGTGCATTTGACACCTGTCGTCACGACCTCCGTACTCTAAAAAGCCCAGATTTCTAGCGCAAACGTAGCCAAATCCATCGAACAAAACAGACATGACAAAACCCCGAAACAAAGAGTCTTTAAAGTCTTAGAGGTACTCATCAGAAAATGGTCAAGCTATATATAACTATATATAAATATATATGCTCTACCGTTGAATTTTCCCATAGTTAAATAAGTAGGCATAGCAACTATTTTCATTAAAGTGAAATTTAGCTCGACAATTGTAAATCTAGAGATACATCCAAAAATATTACTTAACCAGACTAGAGTTATGCTCAACCAAGGTAAGGAAGCACTGATAGTATGGGTATGACAACCGTTAACTTACATTCAATTACATTTCCTGAATTTTCGCAGAAGATGGAAGCAAACTCAATAGTAAACCCAGCTCTCATTATTTTTTTATCTTTGTATATATACTGTGTTTTAGTTTCGGTATAAGTATGCTTCGAGGCGTTACTTTTACTCAACTCAGGTTATTCAATTTATTCCTTTCTGTAGCTCTCCATTCAGTTTCACCTATTTCTAACACACGAGACTTTTCGCCAGATTTGTGGCCCCACATCAGACTAAAGCACCTTAATCGTCAGACAGGAAGAGGCTCTTTCCTCTTCGTGTTTTAATCACAACTAGTGGATGACATTCGCATGATTAAACCGTGGCGACAGATCCTGTACCCAACTCAAGTCACGACTACCGCTTGGCTTGACTCAAAGTAAGGATGAGCCTAAACTTAGATTTTCGAAGTTCCATGGTTCCAGGAGCACGAAACTCGGCGGCAAGAAGAGTCAGTGTTCTGAAAAATCTGGGAATGTTTTCTCAAGTGATTAAGTAAACCAGACCTTCCCTCAAAATGCCAGGGATTCTGACCCCAAGTTGAAAAAGAGGAGTCTTTTAGTTTGGAGAAGTGAAGCCCATAGTTCAGGGCCCAGCCCATGGAAATGTTTTCATTAAATTTTTCGTAGAGGCTTGAGTCTCTACACGATGAGGCAACCTATGTTGTACATCTGAGCTCAATTCTTCACACAGTTCCCGAAGAGGGTGAGTCACAAGTCTGAAACGGGTGCATACCACAAAAGCAGGGAGATTGTCACTTTGTCTAACTTACTTAATCATGAGTTCACTTCAATCCCCAGCGAACTTTTGCTCAATAATTGTAAATACAAAATTGCATTCAGATACAACGCCTTATAGGACCAAAGTTTTGGTCGCTTATAGAACTGCGAATATGTGTAAATGGGGAAAATTCAATTATTACTAAGTTTAATCATATGAATGCCATCGACTAGTTGTGGTTAAAACTCGAAGAGTCTCTTCCTGTCTGACGATTAAAGTGATTTAGCCTGATTTGGGACCGAATGAAGAGCTAGAGAAAGGAATAAATTGAATTACCTGAATTGAGTAAAACTAATACCTCGAATCATACTCACACTGAGACTAAAACACAGTTGGTATTCCAAGTGGGAAGGAACCTCACATAGCATGCGATGGCACTTGTGTTTTTTACGCATTCTGCATTGATTGTTGAATAAAAGTGACTACATGTTAGGATGATCTATACGGTCAAACAGGCATGTTGGCTACATGTTTTTTCCCACTTCAACTGATGCGCATGTATTTCATATGCCAGTCTCTCGGACCTGCCAGAACTCCTCAGAAGACGAGCTGGATAGGCCAGCAGGCAGCCTCGCCACAGGAATGAGCTCGGCAACAGGTGTGAAGGTATAAATGGCCAGTTACGCACAGCAAGCAATTATCCAAAACCTTGTTGTTGGGAGGGCATATTCTTGGCCGGCCTAATCAAAAGCCGGACTCCGAGTTGGGCAAGAGAAAAATAATTCTCCTCAGATCGTGATCTTGACACGCCTATATGCGGGCGTTTCTGACCTGTTGCAGTGTCGGTCTCGAGGCTGGCTCCCCAACCGTTGCCCACGAATTTCGTGTCTTCCTCACCACGCCTCATGGGCTTTGTCTGTCTGTTCGCATAATGCATGACTAGCCGCCTGATTGGAAATCTCTTGCTTCGTTTCTAGGTTATTACCAGAGTCTTTGCATCAGAGTTGGCGAGATTGGTGGGCTTGACAACAACGGAAATTCTCATTTTCTCATACCTCAAACGCAGAGGTAACAATTTCTAAAGCCCGTTTCATGCCGAAATCCGCCCAATTGAGGCACAGTTGAGAATAGACGAAATAACTGTTTGTCTGTTTGTGTGTGTTTGCTGCGTTTGAGAAGAGATGAACTGGAAATGAGTAGTTGTGCAGCTATCAGTACTACCGCATCAAATAAATGCAATATCGTTGTATGCAATTGCTGGGCATCAAATACTAGAGTCGTCCTTTGCTGTAGATCTGTGCATATGACTTTGCTGTATGATGATAGCTGGGTTCTGAGAAATCCCGACTGATAAAAGACCATATTTTGCAAAAATATTAGTTCAAAATCAGCTACTTTCATGTCTACACTACAGCTCTCATAACTTTTCCCAACGATGAGCCGTTGACTGATGACATTTCCAGATCTTTAAATTTACCCCAGATTAGCCTTGAGCCACAAAGCCTCAAAGTGGTGAGTCATGGTAAGATTATTTTAGTACTGTCAGGAACGGAATAGCAGGAAAGTGAGCTTGGATGAATTGGTTGCTTTGGTTAATTATATTCCGAAAGAATTATTTCCTTGGCTTCTGGTGATGCCAAGCTGGGAACTATTTGCATCTAACTCTTGATTGGGGCCGAAATAACCATCTTCATGATATCCGTGAAACCCCTATAACGGCTAGAGAAGCGCCTGATGCGTCCTTATCTCTGAATCTTAATCTCGGAACGAAAAGCGGATCCTTATTCCTTCTTACAAAAAAGTGGCTATTGAAAGAGTTCCTATAAAGACTCACTGAAATGACGGATTAATATGACTTTGTATATTTCCGTGATGTATGAGGTTTATCAAGAAAGCTTTCTTTATTTGACTATGTCTGCTACGAGGATGGTTTGCGGTTGCATTCTACTGCTTCGAGAGGCTCCATGTTCAAATAAACGGCCGCAATTCAAAAGAGATTGTCATTCATCATTCTTCTGAAGTTATCTATACTCAAATTAGGGGTACGCTGTTTGTGTTTGGTGCGTTTTTCGCAGACTCTGGTTTCTCGTTTTGATGATTTCTGTCAGAGTAAAGAGGAAAGCTTAGCACAGATGCGTCTTGGTCGCCTAATGATGAGCCGAGGACTTCACTCAGCGGCCATCTTATTTCTGTTTCCGGTGAGACCATTTCACGAATTACGTCGAACCATCATTCCCGTCGAAATGAAGCGTCGAGTCGCAATAAATATAAGCACACTTGCAGTTTATTGGGCCAAGCGAGACTAAAAATTGAGGCATAACGGAAACGAGATCATCGTATGCATGGTTGAAACTGGGTAAAAGCTGGTAAATGTAGCGGGACAAAATGTGACATCACTTGTCACCTTGGCGATTTGCAATTCGGTGATGCATACTGAATATGATGACAACGACATCGACAAATCAGATGGAAATGCATGTGTCAGCTTGATACACTTGTTTATAAATTACTGTAATGAAATGGAAACAGTAGGAACTGCAGTCAGCCTAGATAGTATAAAGTGTTGTTGGAGTGAAGACGAATTTTCACACTATTTAGTGGCGCTCCCTTCCTAAATATATTCCAATACATGTCGGACTTGACTGTAGTTTCACTCATAACCTACTTATTATCGTAACTAATTTCATGTTGTCATGTTATGAGTCAACACTTTTGCCTAATTCACTTTATAATTTGATTTTTTAACTAATTTCCGTTCATTTTACAATCATTTTACCTATATTCTACACAAATTAAAAGCTGATTTTCGGTGCATATGAGGCAAGTAAATTGGTATATAATCACATGACATGGTATTTGGTTTGGAGTGAATCAACGATTAGATGCAGTCAGAACATACAAACGCTCCATCGGTTTGCGAAAACTGGATGAGACTAGGTCTAATTGTCGAGAGATTTGATAGTCTCATGTTTACATGTACGAAATCGCCGGTGTCGAGGGGAGTAATTTAGCTTTTGCATTTGTTTCTCCAGAAGGATTTGGAATCCCGTGAAGCGGTACTTCTGCCTCTCTGGGACACACAGACAATGGAGCTGTACCTCTTCAAAAG